AAAAAAAAAAACAAAAAAAAAACCTCATTTTTGGGAAAGACATCAGTCTCGATAACTTAAAATCTATTTGAAAGTCCCAGGAATACTGTGACATAAGAAAAGCTTTCTTCTAAGAGCTAGACTTAGTCTAAATCCCCACCAGTTCAGAATTATGTTGACCATGAAAGCTGGTCCTTTGATCAAACTATTTGATAACTGGTCCGTACACCAAGATTTAGAAATCTCATCAGGTCTGAGGTTCTTTTGGATCTACTACTGAAACCCTGGACAGGTTTGAAGACAGAACAATTGCTGAAACATTAAAGAAATGAAAATAGGAATAAATATAACCAAGAAGGAAGTTTAGGTCAGTGATATTCACACCTGTGAGATGTTAATCTAAGTGTATTGCTCAGTGCCTCCACACTCATTCCTCTTGTGGCAGTTTCTCTAGCACGTCTGGCATACTGTTCCCCTTGCCAAGGAGGCTCCTACCCAGACAGCCCCACAACTTGTTCACTTAATCAGATGGCTCAGGGCAGCACCTGTGGCTCAGTGGGTAGGGCACTGGCCCCATATACAGAGGCCAAACTGCAACAAAAAACAACCAGGCGTTGTGGTAGGCACGTGTAGTCCCAGTTACTCACAAGAGAATCGCCTAAGCCCAGGAGTTGGAGGTTGCTGTGAGCTGTGACGCCACAGCACTCTACCGAGGGTGATAAAGTGAGACTCTGTCTCTTAAAAAAAAAAATCAGATGGCTCAAATGTCCCTTCCCCTGGGAGGCCTTCCCTACCTACATTTCAACCCCTCATCTACATTCCCAATGGCCCTTCCCTGTACGAAACCTTTGACTCAACTGGAGCTCACTTTCCCCATCACCACCAACATAGATCTGCTTTAATCAGCATTGCAGTTTTCTTCCAGTATACCTTTTCAAATTCATTATATAGAGAGTATCTTGATAAAGCTTACATCCTAATTGGAAAAAAAAACAATGAATATGACAATTATACAGTAAATATCAGGAGGTGATAAGTGCTAGAGGTAAAAGGAAAAGTAGAAGGGAAGGGAATCAAGAGTGCTGGGGGAGCAATTTTAAAGTGAGGTTACAGGTTCAGACTCTGTAGCACAGTGGTTAAGGCACCAGCCACATACACCAAGGCTGGTGGGTTTGAACCTAGGCCAGGCGTGCTAAACAATGACAACTGCAACAAAAAAATAGCCAGGCATTATGGCAGGCGCCTATACTCCCAGCTACTCAGGAGGCTGAGGCAAGAGAATTGCCTAAGCCCAAGAATTTGAGGTTGCTGTGAAATGTGACACCACAGCACTCTACAGAGGGCGGTATAGTAAGACTCTGTCTCAAAAAATAAATAAATAAATAAAAAATAAAGTGAGGTTACAGAAGGCCTCACTGAGGGAGTGACATTTAAGCAGGACAATGAGTGAGGAGAAAGGAAACCACATTAGTACTAGAGGAAAGAGCACTGCAGGGAGAACAGCCACTGCAACTGCCCTGAGGTGGGACCATTCCTGGGGTGTTGAAAGAAGCACCTCACGGCCTGAAGCTCAAGCAGCTAGGGTGCCAGCCACGTACACTAGAGCTGGCGGGTTCAAATCCAGCCCAGGCCTGCCAAACAACAACTACAACCAAAAGATAGCTGGGCGTTGTGGTGGGCACCTGTAGTCCCAGCTACTTGGGAGGCTAAGGCAAGAAAATCACTTGAGCCCAGGAGTTGGAGGTTGCTATGAGCTGTGATGCCACAGCACTCTACCCAGGGCAATAGCTTGAGGCTCTGTCTCAAAAAACAGAAAGAAGCACCTGCAGGTCACTGTGGTGAGAGCACACTGAATTGACAGAAAAATCAGCAGGAGGTAAAGTGAAAAGTAACTTGTTTTATTGTTAGTGATTTACAGGCTAAGACTGCACTGATTTGGTCATAATTGGCTTTTTTTTTTTTTTTGAGACAGCGCCTCAAGCTGTCCCCCTGGGTAGAGTGCTGTGGCATCACAGCTCACAGCAACCTCCAACTCCTGGGCTCAAGCGACTCTCCTGCCTCCGCCTCCCAAGTAGCTGGGACCACAGGCACCCGCCACAATGCCCAGCTATTTTTTGGTTGCAGCTGTCGTTGTTTGGCAGGCCCGGGCTGGATTCGAACCCACCACCTTAGGTGTATGTGGTTGGCGCCTTAGCCAATTGAGCCACAGGCACCAAGCCGTCATAATTGTTTTTTATCTATAACAATATAGTCCCACTAGATTTGTATGCCTTCAAGGAGATCTTTTGTCTTGGCCACTGCTGCACATCCATCCATCACCAAACACAGTACCTGGCATATAAAAGGTGCCCCCAAAATGTTCGTGTGAATTAAAAATATAAGGACCATTTGGGTGTTTATTATGTGCTACATTGGGGCTGAGTTTTGCCTCTCTACTTCCTCAGCCCCAGGTCTGGGGAGGAGGGGAGATGAGTCCCTAAGTATCATCCCAGGCATCCATGGGGGAAAGGAGAAAGCATTGAAAATAATAGTACTTTTAAAACACTACCCTTATGGAATGGACTTACTCTGTGAGGAGAGAACTCTTACGATCAATGAACTTGAGGGCTTCTGCCAGTGTCAACTCTAGGAAAAAACCGTATCCCAGGGCTACATAGATTCGTGAAGTATCTGGGCTGAGGAAACAGAGATTAGAGGAAGTGGGGATAGTCCGTATCACTATTTAGCATACCATACAGTTTAAGATTAAAGCCCCCCCTTCCCCAAATTGAGACTCTGGGAGGGTAGGGATTTTGTCCTATTTCATTCACTGTCATATCCCTAACACCTAGCTTATAAATCCTACTGGTATCTAAAACCTAGCATTGTCTGGTACAGAGAAGATACTAAAAAAAATATGTTGCCTGAAGGAAGGAGGGGCTAAACCCTGTGAGCTCAGAGGGGCAGGTAGACACTCACACCACTGTGTCAACGAAGAAGTTACAGCCCAAATCCACCTGCATATATAATTCCGAGTGTTCAGCTTCCTGTGGGGCCAGGGAAAAAGAAGGAGGGGTCAGTGGTTAACTTTTAGGTCAGGTAACAGGTTTTGGTCTGGGGTCTCTCTTCCCATCTCCCACCCTTGCCCACACTAAAAGGGTACCCAACCCTGAAGTCTTTACCTGGAGTCGTTCAATGACATTTCTCAGCTGAAGGTATTTGGCCAGCTGCTCATATACCTGGTCTCGATGGTCCAGCACCTTTCTGATGGGACGAGAGTACAATGGTGACCAACAGGCAGTCCTATCCCTCCCTCATATCATCACTCTCTGAGACCCTCAGGTCATCATGCCTAGAGGCATTTCAGTACAGATATTAAACTTTTGGACTCTGGATCAGACTGCCTGGGTTTGAATTCAGGCTCTATCCTTTACTAGCTGAGCAGTCAAGTAAGTAACATGTTTGGGACCCAGTTTCCCCATATATAAATAAGAATGACAATATTACCTCATAGAGGCCTTAGGACTATGTATTTACTACAAAGCACTTAGAATAATGCCTGCCAAATGGTAAGCTCTCTATGTACAGGTTAGCTATTATTTATTACTGTTATTACACTCTACTCCCACTGCCTCCCTCCAATCAGGGTGTTCATCCTCACCCTAGAAAAATCTTCTATCCTTTTTAGAATGCTAAGTCTTAGTTCTGAACACCTTAGATTAACAATGATAATAATTGTAGTTCTTTATACTCATTTAGCCTCTAGTAGGTTTCAGGCATCCATGCTAAATTCTTTTTTTTTTTTTTTTT